GTACCTACTTTGGGCTATTTGGAGTCTTAGGGAATGTAGGAACCTGCTTAAGAAACCCTGACCCTTTATTAGGGTTCTTAATATGAGCCATGATATATTTGGGGTTATAGGGCCAGGGTTTCTTAATCAGGTTCCTACATTATCCTGGATAATGTAGGAACCTGATTAAGAAACCCTGGCCCTATAACCCCAAATAGATCAGAGTTCATATTAAGAACCCTGATAAAGACTCAAGGTCTCTTAATCCGGATCCTATATTAGCCGAAGAACCGTAAGCTACTACTTGTTTAGGGTTTAGGGTTTAGGGTTTAGGGTTTAGAAGCCTAAGCCTTTGATGCTCCTTGAGCCTCGAACCGAATCTCACGGGCTCGCCACTTCTCCCGGTTGCTCCAGGAGAGACAGGGTTCTGTCTCTCTTGTCCGCAGGCGGCTACAACGATCGGCAGCAAATCGCCACCAAGGGAAATAGTTTTGCGGAGGCCGGGATTGGGACATAGAGACTCCAATACCCCTTAATTAAGGAATTTACCTTAAATTATAGTAGGGTCCCTAATATGATTTAAGGTATATTCCTTAAGTTTCTGGGGACATAGGTGGCTCATGTGGGGCCCGTGGGCTGGTGGCTATTGACCCCAAGTGCCGGGCATGCAGATGTTTTGCGGTGGTCTCGTGCCGCCTCTAATGTCGCGCATTCTGAAGAGCTACGACATGTGGAGTTTCATGGCGTTCGGGGCTATAGGCTTAAGTGTATTGAAGAAAAAATCTGAAACTTCGAGGACATCTGATCCTTCAGGCGGGTTAAGGATGAGCCAGTTGCTGGCATCAGCCGGTTCGGACTTCCAAAGCAAAGCCAGCGTGGCCAGCGTGGCTCCACACACACACACACACACACACAAAAAAAAAAAAACAGGTCCGTGGTCCTTGAGTCTACTAACCGTATCTCAACCCTCAACTAGGCGAAGCCTTCTCGAAAGTCTGCACAACCCGACACTTTTGTTTGGGAGTGTCAGAAACGGCGGACACCCCGAAATGGATCTCAAGAACTTAGGTTCCTGATGTTCCGCGCACAAAGTACCCGAATATCCAGAAACCTCTACTTGATGCCACAGGCTGCTGACGGATACGATGACTTCGGCCGCCGGATCAGCAACAGAGCGGGCGACAAGAAGCAGCGTGCCCAGGCGCCTTCCTTCTGCTCACAGCTTATGGGCTCGTTTAGGCTTTAGGGCTTGGGGTTCAGGGTTTAGGGTTTCGGCAGTTCCGGGCGAGAGCAGCCTACTGCAAAAAGGGTTTAGGCTTTAGGGGCATCATGTGAGACTTCGCAAGTATGGAGTGGAGCCGCACCTCTGTTTATTCGCAAACACACGCATGCACACACACGCAGACATTCTCTCTGTCTATGTATCTATCTACCTACCTGACTAGCTAGCTCTGTCTGTCTGCCTGCCTGCCTGTCTGTCTATCTCCCTCTTTCTCTCGCTTTCTCTGACTCTCTCTCTCGCTCTCTTTCTTCTCTTTGCTTTAGTCGGCTCATTATGAAGACGTTTGACATGTTGCCTTCATGGGATGCTTACTATGGGCCAGCTGGCCTCACCGAAGCCAGGGTTCTGACCCCATCCTCGAAAAGCTGAAGCAGAACTTTAGGGTTTGCTCCCGTAAAGTTTGGGGGTTTCGGGTTTACGGGTTCCGGTTGCTTTATGGAGTGTCGGGGCTTATGTGCTTTTTCCTTCAGAGAAGCTTGAAGACCTGCTTCCACACAAGGCTGCTCGACACTGCTCCGACTCTGCATTCCACAAACCCTAAACCCAAACCCCCAAATCTTAATCCTAACGAGCAGCCATGGCCCTGACCTCCATGGGCCTGACTGGGTTTTGGGCTTTTGGGGTCCGGGTTCGAGCCCTGCGGAAGTCAAAACCCGAAATCCTAAACCCTAAACCCTAAACCCTAAACCCTAAACCCTAACCCTAAAGTCAGAACTGTGACAGGCAGCCCTGGATCGCCTCCGGGGCGCGAAGGCGCCCTGTGCTGCTGTGGACCACCTTGGGTTGCTTGAGGGTCCATGCAAATGACGAGTAGTAGTAGTAGTAGTAGTAGTAGTAGTAGTAGTAGTAGCAGTAGGAGGAGTAGTAGTAGTAGTAGGGTGTAGGGTGTAGGGTGTAGGGTGTAGGGTGTAGGGTGTGGGGTGTGGGGTGTGGGGTGTAGGGTGTAGGGTGTAGGGTGTAGGGTGTAGGGTGTAGGGTGTAGGGTGTAGGGTGTAGGGTGTAGGGTGTAGTAGTATTAGCAACCGTAACAGTAATGGTAACAGCAACAGGAATCGGAATCGGAATCGCAGTCGGAATCTGAATGGTAACAGCACTGGTTATAGCGACAGTAGTCATAATAGTGACAACCACAATATCACTCTAAAGGTTTGGACAAACCCGAGATGTTTCCTACATGTCTCACGCCTTTGGAGTGTTTAGATGCTCTGCTTTTGGAGAGCTTCGATCGGAGGCATTGTGGTTCAAGCATCAAGCGGTTTGCAGTTCATGGTCGCATGAGGACTACAGGAAAGAGTCCTGCCTTCGGCGGTGTTGGGCTCCCTCTTCAGATTTTCCACGAGGGATCTCTGACCGGAACAGCCATGGGTATGAAGGGCTTCTCCGACGAGTTTGAGTCGCCGGAGCACTACATCATCGATATCACCTACAAAATTTGGGAGCAACGTGGATTGCAGCTCATCCGCGATTGGTACAGCGATGACTGTCCCGTCAAAACGCCGATGTCCTCTTCGGTGGGCGTGGAGCCCGTCATTTCCGGCACCCAGGCCACTTTAGACGAGTTCGAGGACCGGCACTTATTAGCCGATGACGTGATCATTGGAGAATGGGACGAGGGCACCTTTTACTCCTCGCACCGTGTGCGTTCTCCTGCTCGGAAGTCGGGCGCCGGTCTCTTCGGTCCCGCGCCAAAGTCCCCTCAGCCCGTCACGATGCTCACCTTTGCGGATTGCATCTGCAAGGCCAATCAGATTGTCGATGAGTATCTGGTTCGGGACAACTGTGGAATCGCCATTCAGTTGGGTATCGATCCTGCAGAACAAGCAAAGCGCATGATCGACAACGGCAATCGAGATGGAGCAATGGCTGCGGAGGATCTGGTCTCTCGCTGGAGCGGTGACTATTTCGAGTGCGGCGAGGCTGCTTTGGCTGCGCCGGTGGTGGCCGCCTATGAAAAGCGCTTTGGTGCACTCGAAGGTCTGGCGAGCTGGCAAGAGCACTACGATCGCGCGGTGCGCTTTGAGGGTTCCGGTCATCACTTGAGCTACGGCTTCGAGCGAATGGCTCAGTGGGATGCAGCCAGACTGCAAGGCCTCTCGGACCCCAAGTTCAAGGTGCACCACCTGATCGTGAAGCAGACGGTGGGCAAACCCGTTCGTGTGGCCATGCGCTGGTCTCTGACTGCAACTCATGCTCAAGCTTCGATGTTTGGAGAGGGCAGTGGTGCTCGGGTGGCCTTGTTAGGGGTCAGTCACTTTGAGCTGCGCGATGGGAAGATTCTCAACGAATGGTGCATTTTTGATGAGCTGTCGCTCTACGCACAGCTGATGCTGAAATAAGAGGCCCGTGACGCGGCTGACCTTCAGCGATAGAATCACTGGTGTCCACCATGCCGCGATCGAATCGCAGGTAGCGGACGAATCGCAGGTAGAGCAGTAGGACTTCTTCTTTCTTGTATATGATGACGCCGTTGGATGTAAAGCTTCTTAGGGGTTTGGGAGCATCGCGGTGGTTCCGCAATCAAAGAGGGCGTGCAGGGACGTTCAGCAGGATGGTGACTGGTGTACTCCGTTTTTCCTTCCAGCTTGTTCTGGGCGTTGTAGTTCTTTTTGACCTCCAACTGGATCCACTTGACCACAGAGCAATACGCTACAGAGGATTGAACAGTTGATAAACCCTTAGATCCCTGCTCTGATCGTGCAGTCCCTCCGATTAGGGTTTATGCTTGAGCTCGAAGTCAAAGTCCCCTAAACCCTACTCGTAGACACTAAAGTTGCCCTAGAGTGTTCAAGTTTGAAACACTGTATCCGAGCCGAGCCCGGAAATCCTGATCCCTACCGCCCGCGATCCTGTTTTCACTAGCACCGCCGCCATTTTTGTTTAGGTATCCTGACGTCGACCCAAGTGCAGAAGTTGTCGGGACTACATGAAAGCCAGTTGTGATAGTTGAAGGTACACCCCAAAGTCTAAACCCTAAACCCTAAATCCCAAACCCGTGAGGCTGGTAAAGCAGAGGAACTGGCACCACCAGCGCACGGGAGCCTAAGGGAGATCGAAGGTTCAGGTTTAGGCTTTAGGCTTTAGGCTTTAGGCTTTAGGGTTTAGGGTTTAGGGTTTCGGGTTTAGGGTTCAGGTTTAGGGGTCAAGGGCTACGGCCAGTTGCAAAAGGAGTTAGGGTAACCCATGAGTCTGCGTGGCTGTGAGGACTCTTGTTTTCATGGCTTGCGAGTTATCCTTGAGACCATGGCTTCTAAGGCTTTTGGCGATCTTCACCATATGCATGGGTTCAACACTTAAGACAAGAAGGCGAGACTAGAAGGGTTCTTGGTGCGTAGAAGCGGATATGGCTTTAGTTCATGCTGCAGTTATCACGGCACTAGGCATGCCAGCTCGCTTGGATTTGACTCCTTGTACTGGAGTAATACATGGTGGCCGAATTATTCACTAAACCTGTCGCTTTGTGTTCCTCATTAAGTTCAGGCTGCAACGTGCCCAAAAAATCCTATTCGATTTGCTGAGGCCCCTATACTATGGTTTTGGGCTGGCTTTTCTTTTCGAGCCCGAGGGTCGAGGAGTGTCATTCACTGGCGATTTGGGCGTGATCTCTGGACACTTAGGGTCAGGGGTTTGGGATTGACGCCCTAACATACAAGCCTGTGTGGTGAGTTTGTCTTGTGATGATGATTATGAGCAGCAGCCGTAGGAGTCGTTGTGATGAACTTTTCTCTGAGTAAGGAGGCAGGAAAGGTTTCATACTTAAAATGCCTCCAAGAGCAGAACCACCCAGATATAGTTAGATGGTGGCTACGCAGGTCCCTCCTCGAAGTGTCTGGGCACTTAGGGAACCAACTTAAACCCTAAACCCTAAACCCCAAACCCTAAACCCTAAACCCTAAACCCTAACCTAAACCCTAAACCCTAACCTAAGCCCTAAACCCTAAACCCCAAACCCTAAACCCTAAACCCCAAACCCTAAACCCTCATGATGGAGTCCGATGCTTCGGAGGGCAGCCCTGGAGAAAGAGTTGTGTTTGAGACGTACGGTTGATGATATAAATCCGGCATTACCTTCAGGACCCTAAACTATGGAAATTATGATATACTCATAATTGTGGGTAATGTAGGATTTCTATCATCAACCGTGGTGACTGTTGCTTCGGATGACGGCATCTTCGAGACATGTAGAGTTGTAGAGGAAGGCTGCACTGCGTCACTGCAGTTTGTGGAGAGACGCACCGGCATGAAGAAACCAAACAGAGGCAGAAACAACAAAAATAACTTAAACTCTAAACTCTTAAGTTAAAGTCCGAAAAAATCAAAAAAACATAAAATTAACGTTTATCTCTAAACTCTAAACCTTACCTTTTTCCTTCCAGGCCAGAACCGAAGACTTCTCAGCCTCCTGCGAATCGGCGATCCCCTGCCAGGCCGTTTGGTCTCAGTGGTTCGGTGCTTTTTGTAGAGTTTCCCGAAGGGTCCAAGTAGTCCTTATTTATGGTTTTAGGTGCCCAAAAAGGCCCCAAAGTCCTTAAATAATGGGTACTTGGACCCTGAGGGTTTGGGTGTTAGGTGCATATACTATAAAAGTTTAGTTTAGCGTCGTGGTATGGAATAAAATACCTAGCCCCATATATGGACCTCATAATTAGTTTTGTGAGCAGTCATAAGTTGTTTTCATAGTCGTGCACGTAGAGCTTCGGCTTCCGGGTCGAAGCCTTTAGATTCTATGAACTCCGGGTTTAGGGCTTCGAGTATAAGGAACCATCTTTCGGTACATGTACAAGCGCTTAGGAGTCCTGAGTGAAACATTCGTCTGGAAAGCCTACTAAACCGTGTCTCCAAGGAACCTGAGGCACACCCATACATCGTGAACACTGCGTGGGTGGGTTTAGGGTTTAGGGAGGCCTACATGACTCTATCTATCGGGATCATCAGTTCGTCAGCTCTTTCAACAGCGTATCCGACAGATTAGCTCGTAAAATCATGAGGATTGTGCGTACTTAGCCTTGAGCATTTCGCCACGAGTGCGATGTGCTGCGAGGGAAATTTGGCCAGGCGAGCTCCAATCAAGCCTGTGTAAAAGGGAGGCCTACAATGCCCTACACTTTGTACCGCTTCAAAACTGGTTGCAGCTTCATGGCTACTTGCTAGTATCCCTGCCGCAGGTAATTCTCTTGAACCTCCAGTCAGTCTAAGCTCGTAGATCTTGCAAGACCCGTATTTGCACAGCTGATGTACCACACCCTACCAAGTCCTCCAAATACCAACTTCTTCGTAAGGAACTAGATTTACTATATGTTGATTGTTTGCCGTTTATCCCCATCATTATGACTGGAAGACAGTAAGATCCGGAACACTTTGATAAACCCTTACAACACCCTGCAACACCTCAGAAAACCCTGTGCAGAAACTACACAACCCCTAAATCAAGCTTTGCAAAGCTTCTGAAGATCCTAAAATCAGCAAAGCCCTGTAACACCCCGTTTGCTCCTGAAGCCCAACAAAAGCAAGCCGCGAAACAAAAAAAAAAAAAAAAACTGACAAAACGTACAGAAAAAGGCGCTCCCCTCGCCGGAAATCCCGGGGCCGCAAGTCCCGGGGCCGAAGTTCTCGGAGTCGCAGCTCGAGCAGCTCCTCCTCCGATAGGCCTGGGCCCGGGGCGCCCCGGAAGCCGCGGTGTAGGGATTTTGGGGTTTTGGAGTTTAGGGTTTGGGGCTTAGGGTTTAGTAGGGTTTAGGGGCTGGAATAACTACGAATAATTACCACTCCATAGGGCTGCTTAATATAAGTATAGTAGAATCCATCTTCCGAAGACCCGACTTCAATTATTGCGGCCGGCATATTGCAGAATGAACGGCTCGGCACTGAAAGTTTAGGGCCTAAAGTGTTATTTTGCGCAGGGTTTGCTGCCCTGTGAACTTCATGTCGGCTTTGTTGAGTTCGTGATAGTTGGTGGCACTTCGCGCTTTTGCGACTCATGTGTTAGTTGGTGAGCATTTGTCCGTGCTTGCAGCCTGCATTTCGCATCAAGGTCAGCTGAGCAAGATTCCACAAAATTATTATACTCTGTTATAACCATATTCGTTTAGTCTTGACAGGTTGAGGTGTTCAGGCCAGAATGTTAAGGACCGAGAGAGGTTTGCCAAACTCTGCCGGTACTGTAGCATGGCTTGAAAGATTTCGCGGTGCTGGTGTAAGCTTTAGGAACAAGGGCTAAGGCCTAAGGGTTGAATCAACGCAATTTGGTAAGATGAGCAAAACCAGCACTCACGGTCATCCGACTGGCCTCCGTTTCATCACCCCATGGTCTTGATTATGTTGACCACCTTGATCATTAACCCCATCATGATCCCTCCCCAATGTAAGACCCTACCAGCCAGAATCCTTGTATCCGAAATCCCTAAACCCGAAAATCGTAAGCCCAGAGGCATCCTCAACAGATCCCAAAAAGCTGACTTCGCCGGAACCCTCCCTACACCCTGAGTCACTTCGCAGGTCTCGATCCCGGCGCCGACGCCGTCGGCGGCGACGCTCTCGCTCCCGTAGCTGACAGGCTCGTGGCAGGATGGCCTATAATACTGTTGATAATACAACTCCTGCATTACCTTAAGGACCCTAAACTATGGCAATTATGGTATATTCCTTATTGTGGGTAATGCAGGATTTATATCATCAACCGTATGAGTTCACGGTTGGGTAGGGCATTTAGGGTTGATAGGGTTTAGCGATTCAGATTCAAAGGTTCACGGTGCTTCCCATTACTTGCTGGCTTGCTTCCGCCGTTCTCGGTGTTGTAGTGGGTGAAGTAGTACAGATGAGGAGCATCCACGGCCGCAGCAGTGCCGCTTGAAACCATGTTGGGAAAGCCGCAGGACCAAATCAACCTTAAGCCTATATAAGCTTAGAAAAGACGAAATTAGAAAGGCGACCGAGTTGTCGGTCCGTTCCAGATTCCAGCATGAGCCCATGCAGAGGAAGACATGGATTGGGTAAGCCATGGACGTGTCGGCAATTCCGCTTCTTGTACACGATGGCATTGCCTTGGTTCTGCATGATGACTAATGCCACAAGGTATCATGAAGATAATACAGAGGTCTGAAGAAAGAGTAATACAAACACTATCACCTAATAACAACAAGACTAAAACGTGCGTCAAAACCCTGAAGTTCCGACACGACAGCTCAAACCTATACAAGATTGGCACATTTACTACATGCCGAACAAACTTGAACAATCTATTGGACGCTTGAATTATCGCCTTGCCTCTGACTAGTGTTATGATTCTGATTAGTGTCATTGCCATTCCTATCCTGTTCACGGTTTAAGTAAAACCTAAACCCTAAACCCTAAACCCTAAACCCTAAACCAACCCTAAACCCTAAACCCTAAACCAACCCTAAACCCTAAACCCTAAACCCTAAACCCTAAACCAACCCTAAACCCTAAGCATCTTCTGCAATTCGGCTCAACCCCAGGAGCTGGCAACGACGACCCAATCCGTAAGCCGGATTAAGCCGGATGCCGCCAGTGATAATGGTTTAGGGTTTAGGGTTTAGGGTTTAGGGTTTAGGGTTGCCTAAGCCCTAAATCCTAAACCCTAAAACTCGTCTTAGTCTTGACCCCAAGATTTAGGATGCAGACCTTTGTGCTGTTAGTGAATGTAGGGCTGAGTTTCTGAGGATTGAGGACTATGCCAATTTGGCGTTTTAAGGTTTGGCAGTTTGGGGTCTGGGGTCCAAGCCCCCACCAGTAAGTATAGAGAAGGAAGCACAGAAGTCCCAAAACCTTAACACCGAACGCGAAATCATGCACCCAAGACCGAGAACCCTCCAACTTCGAAGTTTGCCTCATGGCAATAAACCCGACATGCGCATGCATAGACCCATAGACCTGAAATCCTAAACCCTAGAACCTAAAATGCAGACCCCAGCTGCAGGCATGGGACGCCTCCCCTTGTGGCGGTGATGTGCTCACTTTGCAGCTTCACATAACACCGGACTTCACTTCCTTTGAGGGTTTTAAGGGTTCCTATACGGGCTCCTATAAGCGTTCCTTTTAAGGGTTCCTATAACGGTGCTTACATGGGTTCCAAAACGGTTTTGTTAATGTGGAGGTGAAGGCGGGTCAAGGTTTTAAGTTGAATGTAGAGGGTTTAGGGTTCAGGGTCGTTTCCGACCATTGAGGTTCTGGGCTTGATTTAGACAGAAGGATGCTGTGTTTAATATAGAGGCCGGACTTGAACAATTGCCAACAAGATTCGTGGGGCTCCTTCTTAGTATACTATAATGCAGCGCAAAACCGCTCTTTAAAATATTAAGGCGGCTAGGTGATCTTGGTTGTGCTGGGTTGCCGAAATCGATGTAGACGGAGCGTCTCTTGGCCATATGCTGCAGTTTAACGGATTTGTAGTTTAGGGTCCAGGGGCTTCGGACGATTGCAATGTACAGAACTTCACTTGCTTTAGGGTTTAGGGTCTAAGGCAAGAAGGGCCGCTGAAGTTTGAGAATACAGAGGCACTGTCATGTGCAGCTGCTCGTGCCCTCCGCTTGCCCACCATGGCTTGCGCAAGCAGCACTGTCCTGGGGCCCATCTGGCTCAACACGTGGCTTAACGAACCACTGGACTGACCCGAAGCAGCGACAAAGGGCCTAAAGCCGAAAGCTAAATCCCATGCCCCGAACCCTACACCCGAAGGACCCTAAACCCTAAACC